ACCGGGGACAGCACAATACGACACCGTTTATTCCCAAGCAAAGACGCACTGTTCTGAAAAGTGAATATAAACACTGTGTGTGGGTTCTGAGGCACTTAATTAGGTCAAAACACCAGTCAATTTAAAACAGAGGACACACAGGACGATAGATATGCCAAATCCGCCCACCGAAGATCCAACGGCCCAAGAGAGAGTCTGTGCGATAGCTCTTAATGCCACAATCGAAGGTATTTTAGCCCAGTGGAAGCAGCGGGGGATCCTCCCACCTAGGGAATGCGGGTTGAACAAGATTAATCTCTCTTCGAGAAATACACTCATTTGTAAATCAATTTGATTTTCACGAGATACCCAACAGAATCTCTCGTTTATGATATTCTACAACTGGAAGTGCTGCACACAGGCCGCCTCATGTTTCAGTTGGCACGATATTCGAGATGTCGCAGTATATTTCCATAGAGGAAACTAATCATGAGGTTGCTGAAAACTCTTCGACAGCCCACGACCGGTTTCGCCCTTCTTGGATCTCATCAGCACATTCAGTTGCAGAATATCATAAACGAGAGATTCAGTCGAGTCTCTCGCGAAAACCAAATTGATTTGCAAATGAGTGTATTTCTCGAAAACAGTCCAATTTGGGTTCAAGTCGATCATAAAGTGGACGAAAACTCGGGGACTGCGCCCACCTGATGAGCCCCAAGAAGGACAAAACCGGTCTTGGGCAGTCGAAGAATTTTCAGCAACCTTGTGAGTAGTTTCCTTTATGAAGGCTAATCTCTCTTATGTCGTCCAGCGACTGACTGTGAGGGCTGGTATATTACTGTGTGTGGTCGGGATAATTTCAAATGAAAACATATTTCAACCGTACTCAGTGTCACTTTGATTTAGATTTATAGGTCTTGCATCCTGTGGCCTTGGGCTAAAATATTCTAACTAGCCCGTAAATCAGGACCTATGGTTACTTTTTGAAAAAAGGTGAAGGAAGCGCATCTTTAACGCGAATTGCTCTGTTTGAAACAGGAATCAACTGATACAGGATGTATTTGGCTAAACCCGAGAAAATATACCGGTTTTTTAACGATACTTCCTGCAAAAGTGCAGCAGCGAAAGAAAGCCGATGTTAACGCGATGCCGGACTCACTAGTGGAGACCACGTGAACTGTAGGATAATAACCGAACCAAAGTGCAAGTTGAGGACGATGGTCATCCAATGGTGGCTGCCACATCCCACAACGTCAAATTTTCACAGTCGCCCATGGGACTTGGTCAAATTCAAATGGTTTGTTGTTCATTTCGGTTTATTTAAAAACTCGGGTCGGCCAGCTTGCCAAGACCTAGAAGAAGATGTCGGAAGATTCTTGATGGTGGATGATTAATGACGTTCCATGGAACTATGGAGCTTTCAATAGTGCAAGTTACTATGTGGGCTTGCCCAAACAAGGGTCACAGACATCTGACCAGTGATTAGTGCGCAGCTGAGAGATAACGTTAGTCTACTGATCAAAGCGGTGCTAAGAGACAAGTGCAATGTGGGCCGTATCTTAGTAGGTTACAATGCACGTTACACTTAGATCATGTCCAGCCACGCCAGGTGTGAGATAACGGAAAAATTAGGGAGACGGCATCGGAAGTTTGCGGAAATCTTAAGTAAAGCCAGGCGAGTGATCAAGTCCCTCACACAACAAGGACTTTGCGGGCGCGAATATCCCGAGAAGTAAGGGATGTATCCAAAAGAAATCAAGAACGAAGGCGAAATCATCTGTGAAACGAATGCCTTCTCATTATGCGTTGTGCCATGAACAATCATGTGACCAGCTCAAAATCGGATGGTTACAACTTTGCGAGGGCAGACGAGGAGCCGCAGGATCAGGCTTCCGAGGCCGAAATAATCTTTGGACCGAAATCATAACATCCACGGTTAACACATCACACTGAATGATGGCTTGATCAAATTTTAAGAACTTCGAAAGTTATTTTTAAAATTGCTTTACCAGCCACAAATTATGTAACTATCCTTTGTATAGCGAAGATATCGGTAAAGTGGCCGGCCTTAGCGAGATTGTGGACGGTCACAAGTTAACAATAAAACGATTGGAAAACGAAACAAAATGACACGTCCGCTGAGGTTTTTAAAACGAGTGGACTGAAAATTCTAAAGGACTACCACCGATTATGTGCAATCTGGGAAATTTAAGAAGCCCCGTTTGGCTTCATGGTTTTATCGATCATTCCGTTGCACGAGAAGGAGGAAGGAACGGGAGGGCACCTATCACAAAAATCAGTCTTATGCGCATGGAATTTTTGATCGCACCTTGATCAATCGACTAATTACTGGCAGCAAGAAGGAAGTCGTTTCAGAAAGGCAATGGTGGCTGAAATGGAACTCTTTGCTCTTACAATAAAGACCTATAAGTCAGCAGAAAAATCCTGCGCATTTCCGTCATCTTGAGTATCTTTCCAATCACTGCGGCGACCATGCGTCGCACAGAGTTGAGGGAGAGTGGAGTTGAGAGTTTCAATTGAGCCCCATTATTTTAGGAATGACGGTTTTACTCTATATATAACTGTTTTATTTGCCACTCCAAAATAAGCACATACGCGTTATGAAAGGTTCTGGTGCTCGGCAGAAGCCTTCGATCGGTTTGCACGGGAGCACTGAGTCATCTCACGAAGGCCTGGTTGTCCGGTCAGATTTGTCAGTCATGTCCTTCAAAATGGGTTGAAATACTTGGGTGTTCGCATGCACGACCGTCAGGCTTAACCGGTTTGTCAACGTCCGAAAAGGTTGACTCTCCGTACAAATCGTTTTGGCGTGCTGAGTGGAAATCCGCCCCACAAAGTGCAACGCAGAGGAACTGGACACGGGCCATTCAACCTTCCCAATGTATGGAGTAATAACGAAACCATCAGTGTATCAATTTGGAGATCTTTTCACATCCACCACAACAGAGAAACTTCTTGACGTAACTCACTTTAAGTTTGCTAAAAAGCTCTTTAACAGCCTGAATCATGATGCGGCATTTTCGCATTACATTCAGATGAAGCATGTTACGACTAGAGGTTTGGCTATCCCTTCAGTAAACCAAAGCAATGCGAAAGTTAATGAATCCCTCCACATGAGGAAAATGAATAAAAGTTACGCTCGCAGGTCAAAGCTAAATGGTTTATTCATTCTTTCAATGGAGGGATTCTACTGACTGATTCCTCTTACAGGACAAAATATCAGTTAAAAATTCCAGAAGCCCCTTATACCACCAGTTCTGATAATCACTCGCAGAAATATCAACTGAAGAAGGAATATAATCTATTCTTGCCCTCAAATCACATGCCTCGGCGGGCCAAACACTCTTATTCTTTATCTCCCTCTAGCTCATCTCCATAGCATATTCCTCTCATTAGGTAAAAGCGAGTGTGTCCGATCGGCTCAATGGGACAAGGAGATTAAAATCTTCCCATTATCCTATCCACGTGGTTTCGAAACACTTTGGACACCTGAAAATGTCCCTCTGTTTGGTCCGTTTCCAGCTGTTGCAATCTGGTGGATTTTATGGAAAGGTGTTGGGATTAACAATAGAAAACATGTGGATAAGATCTTCCAACATAAAATTTTGTTTTTTATGACAGTCTTTAGTCCACCCATTCACAGCTCCCTTCATGCTTTGCCCGGAGCTCTACTCAATTTGTGCTATACTACTGGAATACAGGTCAGGGCCAAACAAGTCAGAGACGTGATCAGCAGTAAAGCTGTTTGGCCGAAGCCTTTGGTTCCTCATTTATTCTACTGTCCACAGGAGATATTGACATTACAACCAGAGTCGTTAGGAGGAACTTTCTAGCTACAGATGCCACTGCTTCGTCAGTGCTATTCCCTATCATGCATCCACGAAAAACGCAAACTCAACTCGGGGCGTTGTTGCCAAGTTTTGTGTGAGAGCCGATTGGAGCACTGTGAATGAGAACAGTGGAGCAAACGGGTTTAAATGCCCCTAAGGGAGATCATACTCCCATACACCTAAGTACTGACCATCAGGATGGACAAAGATGATGTCCGCTAGTTTGGTGCCGAGTTCAGCGAACGGGTCAACAGTTACCTAATTGACAGAGGGAAATTTTTAAATGAGTACGAGCGATCACTTGAATCGCAGCGATAAACTTGGAGGAGATTGTTCTGCCACAAATTACACCCAAAGCTGCATTTTACAGCATTAGGGAGAACATGAATAAAACCAACCCTGTAAAAGTTTATCACATACAAATCCCGTGTTCACCTCAAGGCGTAGCTAAGTAATTTACATTCTAACCCGCCACTAAATGTTCTTCAACTGGTCCGGAAACTCGAGGACGTTCTATAGGCGGAGTGAAATCTGGGGACGCCAAATCAGACAGGTCCAAGGAAGACCAAATGAAAGAGAGAACAGTCAATTCCGAGGTCTTCTAGCTTCGAGTTGCGCCGAATATTTACGTTCTGTATTTAGAGCACCGCTTACCAAGCAGGGCCCTAATAAAGAGAAAACAGTATGGGGTGCAAACTTAACAAATTTCTTCGAAGCCAACTCTTCGATACAACGGCGATCCATCTACTATGAGAAATTGGTGATCTGTCATGTGTTCAGGAAAATAAGGACCCATTGAGAGAGGCTGAACATGTTCGCCACTCACGATTGGTCCTTGATCAGCTGATCAGTATCCCACGAATTAACGCACTCTTAACATGTTGCTCAAAACAGCTACAGTTTTTCTGGGCAACCTTTCCACTGTATCTGACCCCGACTTGCGTGTGCCTAGAGAAATTTCCATTTCAAAAATCCCATTCGGCACACAACCATAATTGAAAAAAAATCACTAACAACAAAAAATGCGTTTAATTACTACCAGTAGCAATGAAGAAGGAGAGCACAGTAGGCGCGAATAAACTCAGTTCCAAAGAAAAGGCAACGACGGCTCTCAGTTAATAGATATTTCACAAAAAAAACGGGAAGGGCGGTCACCTGTAAAAACTCCCCTCATTTAGCGTAGAAGTCGTTGCTGGCCAGACAGCCCGGAATGTTGAATTTTGATGTACACTCACTAGGTATTGAAAATCCGGAAGATCGGTAATCGTCTTCGTGAGATTCTCGATAGTAGCCGTTGAAGGATGCGTGTTCCATCGTAAGTAGCTTTGTATCACAGAGAGTGTTGTATGAGTCATCGGCTGATTGTCCGTCTTCCTTGATCTGTGTCTGAATATGTTGGCGTCTGATGGAACTTTCAAAGACCGGATCTTCCGATGTCTTGGGTACTCCAAACCACTGATCGCGCATTCGCTTTTTCTGCTTCATACGCCGATTCTGAAACCAGATCTTCACTTGTGTTTCGGTCAAACCCAAATCGTTTGCAATTTCGATTCGTCGTGCTCGAGTGAGATATCGATTAAAGTGAAATTCTTTTTCCAGTTCGGTCAGTTGTTTGTTAGTGAAATTGATCCTACCATTCATTGAATTCTGTCCGGACAGTGAAGATGGCAAGACCGTTGTCTGTGTGGCACTTGTACAGTCAGAAGTGATATTCCATGGATATTCAGCTGCCTTACTCTGGTCGTACGCTACTGACCAACCAATTGCACCATCGTCTCTGTACGACGAACCACCAACCTCAGCTAGAGCTTGTACAGGAAATGGAATGGACTGATCAAAGGTACCACAACCGTCAGTCACATAGTTGAAGGCCTCTTGGAGCGCGCAAGCTGTTAGTGATCCGTTTGTATGCATCTCCATCTGATCGGCGGTTTTCAGATATTCCCGACCGAGTGCCTGTTTGATCATGTTGACATGGGGTTGTTTGCCACGTTGAACTGATGCACCAGTTGAAAGCGCACCTGGAACGAGGAGGTTTGAGAGGATAAAAGAAGGCCAAACGAATCTTTTCGTATATAAAATGGTACTGTGAACAAAGTGGCTGGAAATGCCATCATAATTTATACTGAGTGCACTTGTGGATTTCCGAAAGGTGAAGATCATTCCAACTAGTCTAATTTTACTTGCAGTTTTTGCTTTTAGCAAAAGGAAGCTAATTATGAAGTATATGTCCAAAACTCTATTCACTGGACACCCGTTCGGCACAGCGTGGACAAATAGTTTTCATCGAAGGATTGAAAAGTCACTGATTGCTTACTAGCCTATGGAAAAATCCTCTTATGGGAGGAACTAATCGGGATGCTAAACCCCTGATCCTCCAAATAAGTGGTGACGTAAACCTTTGAACGAAAATTGAAGCATTCAAACGCATTTCCTTAACCGCCAGGCTCCTCATAAATAAAATTTCAGGAGGCCCCCCTGGCGCAGAAATTCACTTCATACGTGCATATATACATACGTCTAAACCACCCGCATTGTGCTACAGCAAACTTCAGGGAAGACTAGCATCAACCACAGAACAATATCGCAATTTTCAGCGAGGTGATTGACAGAATAAACGATTATGAGGTGAGGGGGGCTAGAAAACTTGCCTGACATTTTGCTGTTGCTGAGCCGAAAGTATTGCTGCGTGAAAGCTCTTGGTGTCGATGTAGATAAAAGGATATTTTGCAGGCAAAAATGGGCTTGCTGTAACTCATCACTGGCCTGAGTATGATAGCGAAAATTGGCACAGGCACCAGTTGTGTTCGTTATCCAGCTGCTGGCTTCATCGATCAATTCCTTTAAGTTTCAGCATGATACCACACCCCTCCCTCAGTATTCCACCATGTAGGCGCTTCGGGGCCCCCACTGACACACTATCACGGTTGGATTGGATAATCTACTGGTATTCCATTATCATACTGTAGTTTCCAATAGAGGATCTTGAAAAGACTCGGGTCAAGTCATGAACGGGGAGATTCTATTTAATTTAGGTATTTCTGGCAAAACCTTTATCAATTGCGGCTTCCTCGTTATGTGCTGAGCTGAACAGCTACACAACAATCTCTTCTACTTGTCGTGTCCACCTATTTCTCCCAATCTGGCGTCTTTGACTCCATGGCTTGAAAGACAAGTGATTCAATTGTGTATGTGAGTGGTGTTTGGCGCACCTGATTTCATGTCTCGCCTTTTTTAGGGTGTCTCCCTTATGGCTATAATAGGCTTGCCCATCATTGGTCAACTTTAAGGGGTGGTCGCCCAAGACCGAAATCCGCAGCCTGCAGGTCAATTCAGTTTATATCAAGGTTCTCTGTACAACAGTTCTTAGGTACTGATGACCATCAGCGCATATTTAAAGATTCAAAGCTGCAGCCTTCCAGGGAGTAGCTTAGATATCGGCAGGCTGATGGTAGTGAACAGCAATGCGATTGAACTTGATTCACCAATCGCGCAGATGTGGTGCCCATGAACTGCCTCCACATGTGTTTGCTTCTCGGCAAAAGGGGAACTGTAGGATCGCACTATTCTCCGAGAATTCTTCACTTAAAGAAACAGCATTTTCAGCCATCTACTTCAAATTCGTCATTTGGAATAAATTTAGCGGTACTCTGACCGATGGCCGGTTGGTCCACATCACAATAGATTCAGAAAACGTTATTCCCGAACGTAAAGCTGACGCAACACTCTTGTGAGAGTAAATTAGCAAGCAGGCTTTAACAACAAGGAAGATACGAGTTTACGCTTACTCTGATTGAACCACAAAAGCTACCGAACAGTGCTGAGCTAAACAGAAAAGCACATACATGATGGTTTAGACGCTGGTGAACTTCTGCCATGTGGTTTACTTCGCATGATGAAAACTAATCAGTGAACATGGTCTTGACGGAACACGCTACCGATAAGCTTGCTGACTCCCCTTGGAGCCCACGAGGTAGACTCAGTCACTGAGTGTCCGTCGAACCTATGTTCCGCCAGAGCCGGCACTGTCAGTCTTAAATACGCAGGAGGAGTTTTGACAAAATATCTGCCTGCTCTGCTCGCAGACTATCCCTCCTCCGGTTCAGCTGTTTTTAACGTCTTTTTTCTGTCATTTCTATCAGATACAGAACTGAAAACGTGTCTTCCAAGAGGATATATCATCGTCCGGTCAATTTTATCTTCTCAAGTTTCTGGTTAACTGGCTTATCGCAGATAACTTGCAAACGCTCTTAAAGTGAGGCATTCAGGACAAAAGAACCACCGCTTTCATGGCAAACATTCAACAAATTACACGACTATTTTGAATCAAGATGGCGCACATTCTGGAGTGTGAATCTTTCCAGTAACACTACACAAACAAACCTCCAAATCCCATCCATTCAACAAAATAAACCAAAAAACTCTTGACCCTGTAGGGATGACCTAGCAAGTTTCAGTCGAGTGGACAGTATCCCTGAACTGAGCCAGTTATCTTTATTCAGATAAGCACTATCCTCGACTGAATAAACTATTTGAAGACTCGGATTTCCATGCTTATAGCACGTAACCTGTGCGTGTCAGCTGGAAGGAAAATGACAATAAGTGGGTCGACAAGGAATTGTCCAACTTCCTCAAACATTGTCGTTTAACTATCATTTAAAATATTGGCGTACTTGATTTCTCTGTTCGTGTAAATGAACTCCAGCAGACAAGTGATTTGCTCAAGATGGGGGTATGCTTTGTGAACAGTCGGTGGAATATGCAGGCTTCATTGTCCACTTGAATGCCGCATGAAGCCTTGGAAATTCGAAAAAACACCAATATCTGCATTAGTGATGTGCATACAACAACAACCAGCTGTATTCAGTCTGATTCAGCTTTCACTCGTATCAGTAAATGTGTGTGCAGCTTTCCAGGTGCAATGGGCTGCTCATCAGCCTCTAAAAGAGGACAGCTTTTTCATCTTCCTGTTTGTATGCTGATGTGCTGGACGGTAATCAACGAAGATCGTGGAATGTGAGCTACCACGAACGGGATGTTTTACAGTAGGGAAACAATGGTTTCATAGCTTCCTTCGGTTTAGACGGTGTTACCCTGTTGCTCCATTTTTTGCACAAACAAGTCTTCCTGGGGAATAGTTGCAGCTTGATCGCAGTTGATAAGTCTGATGTTTTGGTATATCTCTGAGTTGATGAGTTAAGCAGACAATGATATTTCATACTTTATGATGTCCATTCCTTTTCAGGAAGTGTATCCGTCATTTAGGCGGTTGGCCACTCTAGAGATTTTATATCCAAGGCACCGGTTGCATTTCCTGGTGTCGAGGTTTGGTACTCAGAACCATTTTACCTTGACAGACTCTTCACGTCAAACGAGATTGTGTTCTATCGAATGCACTGAGTAAATGCCTTCAAAATATATGAAAAACTTAGGGATATTTGGTAGATAGTTAAATTTGTGTTCGCCTTGAGTTGAATCTTATTTTCTTGGAGAAAAGCAGGTAGTTTTTTGGTCTATCAGGAAGTGTCCTCGGGAAACCATGCATCCAGATTGTGACCCTAATCTGCGGAAGAGTCCAACTGTTGTTAAATCATAATACAATGTCATAGACAAAACTAAAATACCGGCCATGCCTTCTTTGAATGCATAATACAATTCTTGATGTTGCTTTTATCTTACTTCCCCATCTGTTCGAAGTGATAGAGGAGAGTTTTGTCAGCTGCATTCCAGTCAGGAACCGTCACTGATACGTCCACTACGTGGAATGCTTTCAAAACATGTCATGTTTCATCAAATCAGCGTCTCGATGACAATTAATCTTCTGATTGATTCAGACGATTACTCTCACCAACGCACCAAACTTACCATCTCTCTGACACGTGTCGCTTCGCCGTATGAGGAACAATCACGTGACAGGGAAGTGGTCAGCTGGTGAACTTGTTTGCGTGTAGAGCCATCACCACCCTCCCTAAAAATCAACAGACCGGCGATTGTCTGTTCAACGCAGCCTAACTTAGATTGACACCAAGGGTAATGAACTTAATGGAGTGCACAGCTTTGGTGCTTTTTTGTTCAGTGGTTTCTTAATTTCACAGTGACTTAGTAAGATTGGATTGCTGGATCTATACTGGTATACCCTAAGTCTCCATCATTTCCTTCTGTAAAATCAGGCGGAAAATTGAACACTTGCTCGCGGACCAGTTTTGTCCATTTATTTTGAGTACAAAGACCGAACAGATAGCACTAGACATGCCTTAGCTTAAAGTGCGTCGGGTTCACATGAAGGGCCGTCCATCAATAAGCATGCAGATGAACAATGAAACTGGCCTACTCAAGAGCGGCTTCACTCGGATTTGTACACACAGAACTGAGGCGTGGAAACCTTGGAAACGGATGTTCTGTTTGATGTGTTCGGCAGATGGCAGTCGATTAGCTGTGGTGTCACTGTGAGTGATCATCGAGTGCTCCTTTTTGTGTGATTCGGGAGACGACAGAATTGTCTGCAATTAACTGTATCACTTTACGTACACGTACTGGTTGATGTGATCAGGCAGTGGGCTGACCGTTATTCAGAGTGCGGCATAGATATGATCATTTGTGAGTAGTTTCTAAATGCACATAATTTTGCCCTTGTTGGTTTCGCTAAATAAATCCTCCTCGTCACCTGATGTGATTGGTCCAGAACGGACTTTTTCTCCTGTTAGGATCCATTGGCGCGATTATCGTTGCCAGGAGCCGAACTGATATCATCACTACTTTTTCAGCACTTTCTTCAACAGGTTTCAAGTGTCCATGACACCTCCTGGTCCATGAAAGTTCACACAATCGAATTCTCTTGGCTCAGGTCGAATCGGTCCGTACACTTGTTAGTTTTGTTGCAGAAGTTTCATCACCACTCTAGGGTATGTCATTTGCGGGCTGCTTTACAGCGGAGCGGTACGTTGGCAAGTGTATACAGGTTGGGAAATGTTGGGAAATGAACCAACACCACGGGCATAGTCATTTGAGGCATCTGGCCAAT